ATAATAATCAGGATATTGAAATGTCTAATTAGATGTTATTTTTATATTCAATTGAGTCTGTTAAGTTATCTGAAAGTTATCCACTTCCAATCTTTCAGGCGTCATTTTTTTTGTTAAAAACATCTACCCAAATCCGTAGTTTCAATATTTCTGTTTGTCACTCAGTGGGATGAAAACTTCTTCCTGTCAGCTCTGTTGCTGCTATTTGTGGCAGGAAGTCGTGTTTTTTTGACTGTGAAGTGTAAACAGCCTGGCTTGGGCCCAGAAAGCCTGCAGATAGATTCAGCTGTTCAACTTGATGAACATGTTTGACTCGATTTAAAGACAGTTCTGGAAAATGTATTTATTAAAACCAGCTGGAATGTTTTTTGTTTCTTTTTGTTTTGTTTGACAGCCTGATTGTTTATGTTAACTGTGCGGTTTAACGTTCTGATTGTGCTTCCAAAACATGGAGTTAATACCTTATGTTGCAATATGTAATGGATGCTAATGGGTCCAGAACAGTTTATGGTTTTTATACACAAACAAGAAATGTTTGTTTAAAATATGGATCAGTATGTCATTAATTCACCAAATCCAGATACTTCTGTGTTTATTTACTTTGTTTATCTGGTTCTATTGTGCAGGACTATCCCTACCACTTAACCAGTGCTATATGTGAATGGATCGTCGCCTTCAGCTTCATCTGCTTCTTCCTCACATATATTGAGGATTTCAAAGTGAGTATAACATCCCATCTATAAGGGGTGTTTTTTCACCTTTTTTAACTGTTTATTATTTTTTCTAAAAATATGTTTTCTTTGTTTCCTACAGATGTTTAAGTTGCAAGTGAGGACAGAATATGAGGACTAGATGATCACTATCACTGGGATGAATTTCAATATTTTGTGTAATTCTGCTTTTATTGCACTCGATGGCTTTTTATACTCAAATTGTTTCACAAATTATTTTTTTATACCTTAAATTATGGATGCATTAGCTGTATGATCGTTTTTTTAAATCTTTTTATACAAACATTTTAAATACGTTCGAAAAAAATTTTTCCCATTGTTTAAGCATCACTTTGCACGTTGACTGTTGCCATACCATTGTGACACATCCTGTGAGACCTTTGACCACTAAAGAGAAGTTCATCACACAAAACACATGACAGTGCATGAGGGAGGAGAAAATACAGCTAAAAACGATACTAACCACTTTTTGCAAATACGTTTTTTTACACATTAGCCTTCTTCACACTTGGAGGATAGTGTCAAAGATATGTGTAAAAGGCTTGGAGTAATGTTAACGTTTGTTGCAGTACCACATTTGCACCCTGAAAGGGTTGCTTCATCTGCATTTCAATTTACTGGCTGTATGTGGGCAAGTTCAGGCAAGTATTAACTTACTGTTTTTCCTTTTGGAAACTTTGTTTTGTTGTCTTTTCCATTTTGAGAAGCAGCTAATTGAAAGGGTTTTTTTTGTGTCACGTTAAATGCATACCCCAAGAAAAAAGGAAGTCATGGGGCACTTAGCCTACGTTCACACAGCAGCCGGAGGTGACCCGAATACGATTTTTTTGCCCATATGCGACCTGTATCTGATCTTTTCGTGGCAGTCTGAACGGCAAAGATCCGATTTTTTCCAATGTGACCCAGGCCACTTGGCTATGAGGTCCTGAAACCGATACGTATCTGATCTTTTAAAATGCCACCTGTGACTGAACAACCAGGTCGCATTCATCCGACCTGAAAGTCATTAATAATAAACATAGGTTACTATTCTGCGCCTTGTTACACAGAAGCAGGAAGACAAACAACAGCTATGGTGGACGATTATGCAGAGTGCAGTATTTATTTTTATTTAACCATCTGGAAAAGATTGAATTTTTAAGTTTGGGAAAGATCGCTAGATGAGTTCCAGATGTGCTCTGTGTTTGCTGCCGTAAACACAGAGCATCCCATACAAATCGCATATATGTGGAAATGTGAACAGTAATTCACAAAAACAATTAGAATTGAGCATTAAGGCCTGCAGTGTGAACGTAGCCTTAGTTAGAGGCGATGTTCTAATCCAGCGGCGGCGTCCTCCGAAGGCCAGATTTGTCGGCCAATTATGTCATAGCGCAGCATGGTGACCTGATTGAATCTAAAGCTTCCTTCGTATGCGGCCCGGTTAGAAGGACAGGTACGTTGCATCCTTTGTAGCTTACACTATCCCATGATTCATTGCGAGTCCATACAATCCATTCGCTGCTCCTTGCTCAGAGGAAAAAAAGAAATGGTGTCAAAAAGTGGTGAATGTTCTAAAGGCAGCTCTATAGAATACAAGTATGAATAATTTTGTCTTAAATGAATGAGAATTGTTTTGTGTAAATGATTATTGAGTCAGATATGTGGCGGGTAATGTTCGGTTAATTGAAAGGTTTTATCTGTCCCTGTACAAATGGGTTTGCCTGACATTTAAGCACAGATTCCAGTATCTCTGCAGTGTAGGGGCTATGAATCTGATATCCGCGATG